TGACATGGCACCCCAGACCATCACTGACTGTGGGTGCTTCACACTGGACTTCTGGCATTTTGGAATTTCCTTCTCCCCAGTCTTCCTCCAGACTCTGGCACCTTGATTTCCGAATGACATGCAAAATTTGCTTTCATCCGAAAAAAGTACTTTGGACCACTGAGCAACAGTCCAGTGCTGCTTCTCTGTAGCCCAGGTCAGGCGCTTCTGCCGCTGTTTCTGGTTCAAAAGTGGCTTGACCTGGGGAATGCGGCACCTGTAGCCCATTTCTTGCACACGCCTGTGCACGGTGGCTCTGGATGTTTCTACTCCAGACTCAGTCCACTGCTTCCGCAGGTCCCCCAAGGTCTGGAATCGGCCCTTCTCCACAATCCTCCTCAGGGTCTGGTCACCTCTTCTCGTTGTGCAGTGTTTTCTGCCACACTTTTCTCTTCCCACAGACTTCCCACTGAGGTGCCTTGATACAGCACTCTGGGAACAGCCTATTCGTTCAGCAATTTCTTTCTGTGTCTTACCCTCTTGCTTGAGGGTGTCAATGATGGCCTTCTGGACAGCACTCAGGTCGGCAGTCTTACCCATGATTGCGGTTTTGAATAATGAACAAGGCTGGGAGTTTTTAAAAGCCTCAGGAATCTTTTGCAGGTGTTTAGAGTTACGTCGATGATTCAGATGGTTAGGTTAATAGCTTGTTTAGAGAATCTTTTCATGATATGCTAATTTTTTGGGACAGGCATTTTGGGTTTTCATGAGCTGTATGCCATAATCATCAGTATTAAAACAATTAAAGACCTGAAATATTTCAGTTGGTGTGCAATGAATCTGAAATATATGAAAGTTTCATTTTTATCATTACATTATCGAAAATAATGACCTTTATCACAATATGCTAATTTTTTTAGAAGGACCTGTATATATATATATATATATATATATATATATATATATATATATATATAAAGGCGTTTTAAACCCTTCCCACGCTCTTTCAATATTCTAAATGTGCATTCCTGATGCAATAAAAAGCCTGACACCGACCCGGCCGACACATTAATTAAGCACATTATTATGGCCTGGCCCGGTCCGAATCCGGGTTGGGCTCTGGGTTCGGGTTAGAAATGACAGCTCTAGTAAGGGCTGCACAAAGCTGCAGGAGAAAGCCTTTTTTGCAGCTCTGGGCTGCACAAATATGCAGCAGGTGCTAAATAATTTAAAATAATTTATTTTAAATAAAAATTCATGCCAATTGTGCAGCTCATTCATTATACAGCCAATTGTGTGTCATGTCCAATATTATTTTGAAAAACCACAATATAACGAGTCTGCGATAAATGAACCGCTAAGTAGCGAGGGACTACTGTATATATACTAAAATAAACTACTACTTACAATTCAATTAAATTCAAATTCAATTCAAAAATGCTTTACTAATCCCAAGGGGAAATGAACTGTTATTGTAGCTCATCATCCTGGATTCATTAGCGTTGTTCTAGATGCTGATGGCTTTGGGCAGGAAGGATTTCTTGTAGCAGTCCGTCCCACAACAGATCTGAAGAAACTGGCTGCAGATGCCGATCCGTCCACCCAGACCCAGCAGACCTCTCGTCTTCTTGGGCAGCAGGACTCCTGAATGCCGGCAGAACTCCTCCTCGAGCAATGGCCTTGCAGAAGCCTGCCGAGCCCTTCGTCGCTGCGGACTCAAATGCAGGTGCCAGGGGACGATCTCGGTCCTCCCGCTATCAAAAGCCGTGTTTCCCGCTACCTCCAAGATCTCGGCGGTCAGGCACTCGAGCATAGCCTCCAGCTAGACGGTAATGCATCCACAGCACCTCCTTTTCAACTCATTTGGGATTTGGGGCTGTAGTTGAGGTCTTATTTTAGCTTTTGAGATGTTAATCAGTGGGCAGCACAGTGGCGCAACTGGTAGAGCTGCTGCCTCTCAGCGAGCAGGTCCTTGGTTCAAACCCTGGTCTAGGGGCCTTTCTGGGTGGAGTTTGCATGTTCTCTCCGTGCATGCGTGGGTTTTCTCCGGGTGCTCCGGTTTCCTCCCACAGACCAAAAACATGCATGTTAGGCTGATTGGTAACTCTAAATTGTCCCTAGGTGTGAGTGAGAGAGTGAATGGTTGTTTGTCTCATTTTTCTCTATGTGGCCCTGTGATGGACTTGCGACCTGTCCAGGGTGTACCCCGCCCCTCGCACAGTGATTGCTGGACATGGGCACCGGCGACCCCCATGACCCAAAATGGAATAAACGGGTAAACATAATGGATGGATGGATGTTAATCAGCTGCTCCTGGTTGTAGAAAACCACCTTGTTGTTATGGTTACGCATCATAACAAATGTCCAAATATGAAAAAGGTTTCAGTAAAAATCCTTCCAGCAGCACAGCATCTGATACCAGAGGAAGTAATTATCTGAAAAAAGTGATTTACATCCAGAAAAAAATTGTAATTTAAAGTTTTCAAAAGCAAAATCTTAGAATGAATGTAAGAGAGCTACTCCACCTTGAGCGGCGCAATTCTGGAACATACTACTTGTATTCCTATTACTACTTTGCAGTTTTTCACTTATCGCGGGGCTTCAGGGTATGGATCCTCTGCGATAAATGAGGGACTATTGTACATAACTGTAACTATAATAAAAAATAACGTAATAGTAGTTAATTAGCACAATTGCTGAAATTAACTAAACAATAGCTAAAAGCTAAGATGAACAAAACAGCAGCTAAAACCAACAAAACCATAACTTAAAGCTAATATTAGCAGATTTGTACTTAAAATAACATTAGCCAAAATCTATCATTAGAAAAAAAGTAGCTAAAACCTGAAATTAGCCAAATAAAAACCTGAAAGATAAAGACAAAAAAAGTTTAATTGTGTCATCTGGACCAGTTTTTTTTTTAACCAAGGTTTTTTTTTTCTTCTTAAAGATAAAGTCAATAAACCCCCAAAAGTTAAATATTTTAAAGTTTAAAATGGACAAAAATCATCCATTCAATGACTTGTCTTCTGAATGAGATGACTGGTTTTTGATTGTTTAGAAAAGCTGAACATATGCTAACAGAAGAAAGTGCCAACAAAAGTCAAAGGGTTTGAGAAGCAGCCGACGGAGCACCTCTTCAGCAGATAGGGGTCAAAGGGGAAGAAGCTGTCCAGAGGGTTGGTGTTTGTGCTCACTCCATCTCCTCCTGCAGAGCTGCGGACCACCGGCAGAACCTGCCTGTTGTTCTTCTCTATGACGCTATAGCAGAAGACCACCTGGTACTTCCTGGAACACAAACCACCAGCAGAACTTCATCAGCAGTAACTACTGGACTACAGGGCATTCAACAGCAGGCTGAAAGTGATGTCAGTAAACAGGAAGTGATCTCAAAGGGGAACAGAGCATTGCTACAACAGCACAAACAGCAGAGAAGAATCTGAAGTTCCTTTAGATTGTTTTGAATCACCATCAGAGAGATAAGTCAAGAGTTCAAATTAAACTGTTTCAATAAACAAAGACCAGGAAGTTCCTCTTTGAGTTCCCCTTTGATGTCACTACCTGTTTAATTTTAGCTGTGCCACATTCCAAAGAATACATGGCATATATGTGACAAAATAGGTAAAATTGTGTATTATGCCATATATGTTCAATATTGAGATGTTTTCTTTCACTTTTGTATTTGTAGAATATGCATATCACAGAAGCTTTAAAGCAAATGTTTGACATTTCAAAACTGTTTGTTAAAATGCTTTTTAAAAAAGATTTACTTTGTTGAATCTAGAGAAAATAGTTGCTGGTCAGTTGAATGATCATCTGCACAGAAAAAATCTGTTTGAAGAGTTTCAGTCAGGGTTTGGAGCTCATCATAGCACTGAATTTGCACTGGTGAAAGTTACTAATTATATTCTCATGGCCTCTGATAATGGACAAGTGTCTTCACTGGTCCTGTTAGACAAATTACAGGACCGGCTCTAAATTAGTTTAAATCATATTTATCTGATAGATTCCACTTTGAAAATGTAAATAACGAATCTTCATCGTACACCAAAGTTAGTCATGGAGTTCCTCAGGGTTCAGTGCTTGGAACAATACTCTTTACCTTATATACAGGTGCTGGTAATAAAATTAAAATGTCATTAAAAAGTAGATTAATTTCAGTAATTCCATTCAGAAAGTGAAACTTGTATATTTGTAGATGAACAGATGCTGATATATTCATCAATTACAACGGGTTCACTCATCTTTCTGGACTGGATAAAACGTGCATTGAATTTAATGAAATGTAACGTGAGACGTCATTTTTTCTTTGACCCATCAAAATGAATGCGGTCATTTATTTTACAGAATCAAAGTTTAACATCAAACATTTACATTAATTTGGCAGAATATGAAAACAACAACATAATTAATCAGCTTTTACAACCAGGAAACCATACGGCCATGGTTTTCCGTTGCTTCACCACAGACATTAATGAAAACATCTGGATTAATTTTCTAGCAGAAAGGAGAGTTTAAAGATGGAAAATTGAGATTTATCTTACAGAGAGATGTGTGACGGAATTTATCTGTTTTAACCAGAACGTGCACGCTCCTTCGAAAACAGCTTGTCCCACAGTACACTTTTGGTGAAAGTCGACTTTTACATTTTCTGAAGATAGATCAGTTCCGGCGTGGAGTCTCACTTCCAACCACTGTTCAGCGTCTCAGTGAGAACAGCCAAATACCTCGAGAGCCATGCGAGGTTATCCAAACAGAAGTTATAATTCCCAAAATCGTCTCTGGTTCAGCTTGTTTGGGTTAGCAGCATCCATGAATGCCTGCGTGTGCATTCACGAACTCCCAAACTCTCTGCACTCTGGATTCCAAAACTCTTGAACTCTACTTGAACTGCTGCTCCATCTTCAAGACAGAGCTTACAGCAGCTTCAAGACTGAGCTGAACTCTCTACCAGAACTCTTCTGGAACTCTTCTCTCTGAACTAGGAAGTGCCAACCTTTTTATGAAGGGTCACTTCCGGTTCATTTGAGAGCTTTTTGATTGGTGGATGGACCAAAGCAGAGGTGTGGTTTGTGATGTAAGGTGTTATTAAAAGTCAAGGATTGTTTAAGAACAGACAGAAAGATATAATGGAAAAACCAGACTTCGTGGCGTCGCTCACCAAATATCTTGCTGTAAAAGTTAAACATGACATTTCTTTTCAGTAAACTTCTTGGTTGACCGAAGCTTGAACTTTAACACACTTACAAATTTGCTCACTTTCAAAGCAGACGATCAAGAAATTGAATCATTACTCTGTAATGTACTCTAACTTGATTTCACTTTGAATTGAGGAATAAAAATCATTACTACTGTTTAAGTAAATAAAAATGAGTAGTTCACTTCAACATGTAAACATTGTTTGAACTAACACAATTTGATTATCAAACATTTGTCAAATAGTAATGATCATAGAGAATTGTCTTTTCCACTTGATTAATTCAAGAAAGAAAGTCTCAGGATGGGTCAAACTGTATTTCTGGATTCAAATCAATGAAATGACAGTTTCTGTCCATCTGGTCAGTTTTGACATCAGGCCTAGTCCACTACAGTCCCCCCTTTGGAAATCATCGCCTGTCCATGGGGATGAATTCCAAACTTGAACTTACGCCTTCGAATGTCCTTGAGCTTGATGTAATCCAGCAAGGAAGACCAAAGTCAAAAGTAATCCAGCAAGGAAAACAAAAGTCAAAAGTAATCCAGCAAGGAAAACAAAGTCAAGGTAATTCCACAATGTTCTTGGTAATTCCATTGTGTTGATGATAATTCCATAATGTTGTTGGTAATTCCATTGTAGCAATGCTTTAACCCCTTGGAAACAGAGTCTGTAATCCATTGGCAAAAGTCATATAATCCACAACGGTAAATCCACAACGATTGGAAGTGTTGATTAATCAGCATACAGAGGGGTACCCTTGGATTGAACTGAAGATGCGGCCACTGGATGAAGAGTGGAGACCAACGTCAGGATTGCAGGTCGCCTCCAGCGAAGGTCGTCTCTGGTCGACGTCCAGCCTGTGCCGTTCTGGTTCAAATGTGTCATGCAATTATGTGGTTTAAGGTGGGCTTATGAAGGGGATTTTACATAAGGCCTTAAACTATATGCACCTGGTGTGTAAGCTATTATGGTTGGGAACAGCTACAACTACCAGTTAAGGGGTGGAACATGCTGAAAAAGGGTAACTACAGGGGTTTATACCTATAGAAAAGGGTTCCAAACTATTTTTCCATTTCTAACTTGGTTTAAGTTAGCTTTACATGGCAAAATATAGTTTGGTTCAATTGTCTGTTGTCTTTTAGACGAACGACTTGAGATTGGGTGTTTGGTTTCCCCATAAATGTTTTTGGAAGTCTATGGCGAGACTCATCAAAAAGAATTAGCTATCCCCCCGAATAGAATTGTTCGAGTAGGTTCGGCTTAAGCGTTGTGAGATCAATGTAGATTATGGTACTTAAGGTAGCAATAATATACATTGACTACGCAAAGATTGCAATTTAATGAATGAACTGCATGTTGGCATGGTCAAAGGCCTCTTAGTCTCTAACTTAACTACACAACAAAATTCATTCTTGCCTGGGGTGTTCAAAACAATACCAAAAACCAATTAAACGATGTCTCAACATCGAGAAAAACAGTGACTAAGCAACCAGTAAACAACGTTTCAACATTGACAAAAGCAGTGATTAAGCAACTAGAAAACGACGTTTCGGTGCGCCACTCACTCTGAATGTCAGATTTGCTCACGTTATCGCGTCTGGTAGCATTATCCTAACTGGCGTCACCCCCCTTCGGTCATGGGAGACCGCGAACACGGGTGAGGACGTCGCTCCATGAGCTAAAGTTAGGTTGTCCTTGAGTAGTTTTAACTGTTTGAGCAGCTGAAAGAGAACTTTTAGGTCTGGATCGGAATCCAGTTTACCTTTCGATGGAGTGTATTTGTCTGGGTCAGTCAGATACAGTATCATCGATTTAATTGCAGGATCATCCAACTTCTGAAGTTGGGTGATGTCTGCGTCAGTTGAAAATGACTTTTCATATTTTAAAAGAACTTGGCTAAGTTTGTCTCTTTCTTCATCAGATGTCAGAGTGTCGGCTTGGGCGACCACCTGTTCGATCTGTGATGAGACTGATGAGGGTTCTTGCTCCTTGGGGAGCTCCAACGAATCCTTTTCTGAGTCGTCGGACCTGTCTATGGGTAAGACACCATAGGTTTGAGGCCCTTGGTCGACGTCATTGGTTGAGAAAAGAGCGATGGCCTGTGATGGTTTCGTGAAACATACTGGCCCAGCTTCTTGACTCGGTACCAGGTTATCTGGGAGTCCTCCCAGAACTGGAATGCCCAGTTCAAAATCATGAAACTCAGTTTCTGAGTTTTCAGTTTGCGATGACTTATCATCGTTTGTGTGTGAGTTTATCCCCCCTTCGTCCGATGAGGGGTTCTTGGAGGCAACAACAGCAATGTCTTGGTGTGTTTCACCGACATCTGTAATGTTGTCATTCGCGCCTTCAGAGTTAGTAGCGATCGCATCACTACACAGTGCTCCTGGTTGGATTTCCATTTCAGTGTGTTTCAAAGTTTCTAACAACCTTTGTAGTTTCTCTGTCTCCTCCGAGCTCAGAGGTTTAGGGCCTTGTTCCTGGGACCTTTGTGATTTTTTCGCCTCGGGACGTTTCGTCCGAGGTGTTAGGCGGCTAGGTACGTCTTTTCGGGGTTCCTTTCCGGACATCCCCTGACAATATGGGTCCTCTTGGATCCCATATCTTTGTGTCCTACGCATATCCCATATACGATAATCACGTTCATCCTCTGAAAGAGGAGCCTTTTTGTCCCAGCGTGCACCTTCATCACGTGGTTTGTTAGTTTGAAAATACTGCCTTTTCTCGCCTGTTTTAGGAGGAGGTGGTGTCGCACGCCTTCCTTCCATTTCTAGGGAGTGGGGTTTAACCTTTATACCAGGAAACACCTCTATGGGCGTCTTATCATGAGAACATACCTCAAACACATTCACAGCACACTGTTGCAGGTTTGGTGGAGGAGACCTGTTCAGGTCTGTTCCTACCACTTTAGGTGAGGGTGGATTACGAGCAGGAGGTCTGTAAAAGATTTTTGGAGGTTTTGGTGGATTATCCCGACACTGTTCAAGGTCTTTTCTGGATTCCAGACCACCTCGCCCCTCGTCATAACTTTTATTTGTTGCTGCTCTTAGCTTCTCCTCACATGCTTTTAAGCGTTCCTGGGAGGTTTGAC